GGTATGGTGTTCTTTGGATGCAACTCAGCATTCTTTGTCCTCCAAACACGACGAGTTGAGTTTTTACCAAAAAGTTATATTTTGGTTTCATCTGACCATATGACATTCTCCCAATCCTCTTCTGGATCATCCAAATGCACTCTAGCAAACTTCAGACGGGCCTGGACATGTACTGGCTTAAGCAGGGGGACACGTCTGGCACTGCAGGATTTGAGTCCCTGGCGGCGTAGTGTGTTACTGATGGTAGGCTTTGTTACTTTGGTCCCAGCTCTCTGCAGGTCATTCACTAGGTCCCCCTGTGTGGTTCTAGGATTTTTGCTCACCGTTCTTGTGATCATTTTGACCCCACGGGGTGAGATCTTGCATGGAGCCCCAGATCGAGGGAGATTATCAGTGGTATTGTATGTCTTCCATTTCCTAATAATTGCTCCCACAGTTGATTTCTTCAAAACAAGCTGCTTACCTATTGCAGATTCAGTCTTCCCAGCCTGGTGCAGGTCTACAATTTTGTTTCTGGTGTCCTTTGACAGCTCTTTGGTCTTGGCCATAGTGGAGTTTGGAGTGTGACTGTTTGAGGTTGTGGACAGGTGTCTTTTATACTGATAACAAGTACAAACAGGTGCCATTAATACAGGTAACGAGTGGAGGACAGAGGAGCCTCTTAAAGAAGAAGTTACAGGTCTGTGAGAGCCAGAAATCTTGCTTGTTTGTAGGTGACCAAATACTTATTTTCCACCATAATTTGCAAATAAATTCATTAAAAATCCTACAATGTGATTTTATGGAAAAATAATCTCAATTTGTCTGTCATAGTTGATGTGTACCTATGATGAAAATTACAGGCCTCTCTCATCTTTTTAAGTGGGAGAACTTGCACAATTGGTGGCTGACTAAATACTTTTTTCCCCCACTGTAATTGTGATGGATGCTGTAGGAGAGGAATAATGTCATGGGAGAGACAAAAAGTGAGTAAAAAACACCCTACATTTACATCCCGCCCTGAATGTAAGCCAGAGCGGGATCAGCCAGTGGTGGCTTCCCGCATGCGCGATTCATTTCCAGTCTGGACGCGGAGTGGTCTCCTGCTCTGAGGGACTGCTGCGCGAGGACTGGGCCGCCTGTGAGTGCTTTGGGACGGGGGTAACAAAGCACCCGCTGCTCGTTGAGAAGAGTAAGAATGATACGTGTTTTCACGTCAGAGTCTCCAAAAGTCTCCAATAACACCAGAAAAAGTCGCTAGATTTGTCTCTAGTCGCTTTTTTGAAAATGTGTCTCTAGAGGGGTCTGAAAACTTGCTAAATATAGTGACAAAGTCGCTAAGTTGGCAACACTGAAACGCAGCATTCAATTGGAAATGAATGTACTTCTGGTGTACCAAAATGCAATAAAGCTGTCGTTGTGATCGAGGCGATAGGCTACATCGTCATGGTTCAGAAGAGGGTGGTAAAGAGCGAAACGTGAAGGGAGCAGCAGCAGCGTTGAAAAAACGAATGTGTGCGTAACATGCGCAGAACGTGTGCCAGATCCTAATGCCTAATTGTAGAGCTTTGAGATAACACTGTAATTAAAATTGCTATACAAATTAAATGTGGTATTATGTATTATTATTTTAGCTTCAAGAAAGAGGTTTCTAGAGGGGCGGGCGGGTTGTGGGCGAAAACTACATATCCATAGCAATGGCCTTGTCCTAATGTGAAGAATATTTGACACCGAACTCACACTTGAATGTACTCATGAGTCATGACTCCATTCTATGCGCACCAAAATTACAATATGTTTGGCTTTTGAAAGCCTAACACTGTAAAATCATATTTTAGAACTTAGCCATGTTGGCAATAGAATAAGCTGTCAAATGATGTCCACCTGACCGAGATTGCGATTTATAATGGAAAGTTGTTGTGTTGTGTAAACACAACAGTAATTGTGTGATGGTGGGGATGCAGGGCTGTGTTCAAAACAAAAAACGACAGAATGTGCTTGCTTCACTTCCTCAATGGCAAAGCTAGGAGTGCTAAAAAAAAAGCCGCTTATTTACATTTCAGTCATTTAGCAGACGCTCTTATCCAGAGCGACTTACAGTTAGTGAGTGCATACATTTTCATACTGGCCCCCCGTGGGAAACAAACCCACAACCCTGGCGTTGCAAGCACCATGCTCTACCAACTGAGCTACTCTTTCCGTGAGTCATATTAGAAATTACTTAGGAACTTTGGAGAGGTGTGGCCACTTGGAGACACCAGTTAGACCTCTCACTCAAACCCTTGTAATCGTTTTTTTCTCATCTAGCACCTACTCTAAAAAATGTATGAATGTTATTATTATGTTACTGAATGTATCCAGAGGATTTTCAAATGTTGTTATTTACAAATGCTGTGAAAAGTACAGTAAATGTAAAATGCACATAAAATCAACAGTGTAATGTTTGGATTCAGTCTTATGTCAGGTGAACTGTTTTGTCCTCACCTTTGGTCTGATAATTTCCCCATAATCTCCAAAGTGTTCCCTTACAATTGCTACTATGGTTATAGGGTGACTTCAGAAAGATTGGGATGTCATATAAACTGGGACAGCTTAATCCTGATGCGTTTATTTCTGACAAGAGAAAATCTAAACTATTGTTACTAAACCCTTGAAGAGAAACCACATCTCAAAATCACATCCCTTCATTGGTGTGACATCATAGATGGGGGCTGAGCAAGCTTCAAACAGGAAGTTCACCCCCAAGCACACAGTAAGGTCAGTGACATAGCTTTTTTTCAGTTTTGATGTTAAGGTTATAAAACGTATACATAAATCACTGTGCCAAATTGTAATGTAAATGTGCATACTATGTACTGATGCATCAACATAATTAACGTAAAAATGTGCCAATATTATGTAAAAAATGTGTAAGTCAGTAATGTTTTGTTGTTTTCTCGCTTTACCAACCATAGCTAGCTAAAGTAGGACAGCATGGAGTAGCTAAAGTGGGACAGTCTTATAGGCTTTTCCAATGGAGGAAAGAGATCCAGTTTGCATTAGGGACCCCCTGTACTTAGGTTAGGCAGGGCTCTGGTTCTTGTAGTGCTATATCCTGTTCATTTTTTCTTGTAGTTCTGTTATTAGTACTGTTTATTTGAGTGGATTCAGAAAAAGTGGGACACTTTTTGCATTTCTGTCTTCTGTAAACCCTCTTCAGACATCTAGCCAACATATTAGCCCAACACATGATGCATTTCTGAAATCCTCAGATGTTTCTTAATCACACAAAATTGAATTGAATTGTCATTGGGGTACAATTCGGACTATAATAATGGTGACCCACAGTCCAAGTTTATCTAACCTGCTGCCCATTTTCCCAGTGGCGTGTAGTCATGGATGCCAAGGGAAGCCAGGCTTCCCCCAAAAATGTACCAACTAAAAAAACAACTAAAAAAAACATATACAATATTTTGTCTCTCTGTGTTTCATAATTTTCCTTCAATTTGCAAGAGGCTGAATATATCTCTCCGGAGAAAGCATCCGAGCGAGGGAAACAGCGCCCCTCTGTCTTTTTTATATGTAGCCCATCTATCTGATGCTGTCTGGTCAAAAAGAGTATGACATTGTTGCCGCCCGTAGCATTGAATGCAAGGGAAGCGAGCGAGCATTTGACCTCCCTTGATAAAAAAATTAATAATAGCCAATCAGCGTTGAGCTAAACTGAGTGAGCTCAACTGTGAATGGTGCTGGCGCTCCAAAAAAAAGTGTCAAGGGAAGCCAGTTTGGATTTGGCTTCACACCAATCTCATCAAAGGCAAAACGTAATTGTCCGAAAAAATAATGAATTGTTGTTCTCTGGTGACTAGCTAGCTAGCTAAAATTGGCCCTTTCCTAAATTAGCCATGGATGGAGATAATTAATTTTATTCAAATAACGTTTTAAGAATGTTATTTAAAAACATATACATTCCGTTCTCAGCGTCACCAAAACTCTCTCTATCCTCTATCTTGTTAAGTGTGTTCAGTTGTGTTGACTGCGCCCACTAATTGCCCACACCTGATCTTTTAATGAGTGCTTGTTTCATTTGAAATGCGGTCTGTTTGAAAATAATAAAATTAACTGCTTTGTATGAGTAAAAAAAACAATGTTATGCTAGCTCCATCTTGGTGGTGCAGTGGACTAATTCCAGGAATAGAGAACAGAATATCATTGGTTTTAATCTCACTGACGCCGTACCACAATAAAAAAGAAATATGCTGTGTCCTATCTTTGCTTAGAGTTCAAAACAGTTAAACTAAGCTAGCAGTGTTAATAAAAGTGTTATTGAAACATGTTCTCAGAACGTTATTTAATTACCTTCAAAATGTTCACTTCCGTTCTTAGAATTATTATTTTTTATGCAGTTTTACAGATCAATAAATGTATGGCTTTGTTCCAAGGACCAATGGGAAACAAAAAACGTTCCCACAACTTCCAAGGAACCAAATGTGCTATCTGGGTAGTAACTGTAATGGATTAGGCCAACATTTAGAAAGTAACCTACCCAACCCTGCCTGAGAGTGAGTAGTAGGTTACAACAAGAAAAACAAATGTAGCCTAAACAAATGATGCTGTAGACTTTTTAAGCTATCATACTTTTTTTGGAAGTGCACTACTGTACGAAAAGCTTGTGATTATGATTTTGATCTTGACAGGCTTTCCAAATAAAGAGAACTGAAATATTGCAAACATATGTATGTACTTCATGGTGAATCTACTACTTTAATGCAATCAAATATTCACATTCAATTATTCACAAATTCAATTGATCAAATATACTACTGTGTACTGGAGACAATGCCTACAGGACTTCCTTATGATGTTCCCTATACACATGCAATAGCAATATAAGAAATACACAAATTGTCTTATAAAACAGCATTGCAACTGTGATGTTATGCTAATTATACAAGATACAAAAACATATATACGATTTTTTATAAACCATCCCCTCTCTTTGACACCGGATGTGGATAGTATATATTTTTTTCAACGGTACAAGCAGCAACTCCTTGGCTCCATGGGATAGTGCATCGCGCTACACAGACCAGCGATGAGAAAGAAAACTCGCACAGGAACAGGAGGACGCAGAACAATACTCCAACTTTCCCCACCTCGAAGCGGGACCGTCGGTGGAAGAGAAGACGCTTTAGGTTCCGAAGGTAAAACCATCATATTTTATGTTTTAGTTTACGGTTGGTGGCTGATTCGTTCAAAATCGGGCCCATTTTTCTACTGATCAACACTGAAGAGAAAGTAGCTAGCTAGCCAGCCAGCCTAACGTTAACTCATTGGCCTCGCCGGTGACGTAGCCTATCTAGCTAGTTGTTCAAAATGTAGCTGGCTACGTTAGTTACTTATTTTCCGGAAATATATGCATTGCTTGACTTGATCACTATATTTAAATAACTGGTTGCTGTTTTCGAAACAATGTATACCAAATGCTATGTATTTATTTTTGAGGTGTTTCTCGGTTTCTAAACAGCGTTAGCTAGTTAGCCTAGCCAGCTAGCATGTTAACATATTGGTGAAAGAGCGAGTTAGTGGCGCGCGGCCTGTTGATTTCGTGAACAAACGCTGCAATGGCAATGCCTAAACCAGCTAACTACCACGGTGAGAAAATTGGGTACAACTAGCTAGGCATATCAATGGTAACGTTAGCTAACTGTTAATTGTGAATCCAGACCACATATCTAACTACATAATCATTATTTAGCTACTTTGACAATTGCATTGATGCCTGTTTTGCAGACGAACATGAAGGTAACGGTGATGGATACAGTTTTCTGAGAGAAGTAACCACAGAAATGATGATCCCCGCAGTTAAGGCCACAGGTAAGATAAGCCATAACTTTGTTCATATACCCGTTTGTTTGCAAGCTTGTGTGAACTCGTGAACGACTGGGTTCGAACCTGGGTCTCCTGCCATAACTGTCATCCTGCTGAGCTCTAGCTAGCATAAGTACCTATATCTCAACTCCACGATACCACATCCACGGAGTTGAGCGCAATAGTTTTTGGAGTGAACCTCTGGCTCGAGTAGCTGTGCAGTCAACTTAAAAAATGTAGATTCTTACACCCTTACCATGTACATAGGTTTGCCCTCTGTTGCGTGCCTTTCTTTATTAGCTAAAATCCATAATTTTTTACAAAACGTTAATATAACCACCGATTGTTTCCGTGTTGCTCTAATGGCAAGTGAGCGCGAATGCATGTTCCGATTTAATCACAAAGAGGAAAGAGTCAGTGATTTTATTTAGTTACTGTTTTATTAAAAGGTATGGATTTCAGTAAACACACGCAACAGAGGACAAACATAGGTACACGGTAAGGGTGTAAGAATTAATAATTTTTAAAGTATCGACTGCACTGTGACAAAGGAGTCATAGGTTCACTCAAATCTCGTCTGCACTCAACTCCGCAGATGTGGTATAGTGGAGTTGAGATGTACTTGGCTAGCTGAGCTCAAGCCTATGCATTATCTGGGAGGGGTAACACAAGATGTCTTCAGGTCTCAGGTTACTAATCACGCACACAAGCATGGTTGCCTACAAACAGTGCATTACCTTAAAAGTTTGTTGTTTCTCCCCAGAGGGTCTGTCCCTCCTGGGGGCCTATGAGGACAGTGATGATGAAGAAGAGGATACAAACTCGCAGCCTCCCACCATCAGGACACAACACAACCAGTCTGCAGACATACTCGCCAACTTCATGGCCGTCAGTATAACAATACTTTATTTCTGTTTGTTTCATGGTCTTTTCTCAATCGGCTGTGTTCCTACCTCTCAGCGATGTGATGACCTGTTTATGTTTTCGTAAAACTCTGTATCACTGACATTGGTACTGTAAATCCTTCTCTGCACACCGTCTTGAAATAGCTTCTCACTGAGGAAAATATAACTTGACATCCCTTTTAACTTTCAACCCATCGTTTTATGTCTTAGGTTTTGTAACTGTATTGGAACTTGGAAGATTCAAATAATTTATATATTTTTTAAATCATCCTCTTCCTTATTTTTCTACAATATTAGGGTGATATCAGGGCTCTTTTCCTAGTTGTCTTGCTATACACCTGCAATTGTCTCATGTAGGCCTGTATTTCCCTGCTTTGTTCATAATGTCTTTAGACAGGTGGTGTCCTTCAACAACCTAATTTAATCACTGCCCCCCCCCCCCCCCCCCCCCCAATAGGAAATTGATGCCATCACCACACAGCCGTGTTCAGAGGAGCCCACAGGGGATCTGTCGGCCCCAGCCCCGACACCACCACGTCCAGAACCCAAAGCCCAGCAACATGCCTCTGAGACAGGGACAGAGCCGGAGAGCACTGGGGCAGACTTCCAGTATGATACCCATACTTCACTAGCTGGAGGTGACCGGTTTTGTTGTATTTCATAAATTGCAGAACTTACCTGAGAAGTAGCAGTTAGCCTAGCCATTGTTTGGGTTTGTGATGTGTTAAGTGTGCGCTTTTAAAGAAGTGGAGTTCCTTCCTTATTTGTGTTTCCTGTCCGCCAGTTGGCGGATTGGAGATGGGTGACTGGCAGGAGGTGTGGGATGACAATACAGGTTGTTACTACTACTGGAACACTCAGACCAATGAGGTGGCCTGGCAGCTGCCTTACTACTTGGCCCACCAGGTGCAGGGCCTGCAGCAGTACGCAGACAGGTGAGGCGTTAATGGATGGTACTACATAATAATATACAAATGTTAGTCATACACAAGTGGATTTGTATTTTACAGCAAGACTCTGAAATGTGTATTTTCTACTTAGAGTTGAAGATTTGACCTCTTTTATATTTTATCCCCTGTAGCTCAACAGTCAATGGCAACGGCGCTACACAGAGTGCAGGTTACCATGTTGAACAACACTCCACTGCCGTCAGTGCCCTGACATCTAAGACAAAAAAGAAGGTGAGTTATTTGAGTATTTTTGTGCTCTCAATGATTCGGTGTGAATCCAAACAAAGTACTCAACTGTCCATTTGTTGGCGGAAGTGTGTGTATGTCTATGACTCTGTGTGCCTTTCCTCTGACAGGAGGTGATGGAGAGCGTGGTTGCCCTGACCAGTGAAGAAGAGGAGCGTCATGGTGTGGCCGCCTCCCTCCTCGGTCCCCTCATCCCTGCAGAGGTGAAAGAAGCAGAGGAGAAGTGGAGGAAGATGCTGGTGGGAGGGTTGGAGGAGAAGGAGAACAGCCTGGAGGATGGCTTGCCAGGGTCCCCCGCTCCCCCCCTGAATGAGCCAGATACCCCCACGCACCCCCTGAGAGACCAGCGCAGCAGGAACCAGTCTGAGGAGAACTCTGAGGAAGAGGAGACGGAGGAGGACACCATGGAGCTGGAGCTGGCTCTGGAGAGGAAAAAGGTCAGCTTATGTTTTTATTCATACTTTATTAAACCAGAGATGTTGAAATTGACAACTCTTTCAAGTGAGTTTATACATTGAGTATACAAAACATTAAGGACACCTGCTCTTTCCATGACATAGACTAACCAGATTAATCCAGGTGAAAGCTATGATCCCTTATTGATGTCACTTGTTAAATCTACTTCATTTAGTGTAGATGAAGGGGAGGGGACAGGTTAAAGGATTTTTTTGAGACATGGATTGTGCATGTGTTCCATTCAGAGGGTGAATGGGCAAGACACAAGATTTAAGTGCCTTTGAACAGGGTATGGTAGTAGGTGCCAGGTGCACCGGTTTGTGTCAAGAACTGCAACGCTGCTGGGTTTTTCACGCTGAACAGTGTCCCATGTGTATCAAGAATGGTCCACCACCCAATGGACATCCAGCCAACTTGACACAACTGTGGGAAGCATTGGAATCAACATGTCCAGCATCCCTGTGGAAAGCTTTCGACACCTTGTAGAGTCCATGCCCTGATGAATTGAGGCTGTTCTAAGGGCAAAGGGGGTTCAACTATGAAGTTGTCCAAAATATTGTATATTGTGACTCTTTTGAAAAAGTCACAGACCAGAATGTCGACACAATGAAATACATGCAGAATTAATAGTGTGACTCGAACATGAACATTTGTCGTCTTTTTGTCCCTCTAGGCTGAGTTGCGGGCGTTGGAGGAGGGTGATGGCAGTGCGGGGGGCTCCAGCCCCTGTTCTGAGGCAAGTCAGGAGGCCCCCGAGCCCTGTAGCCTGCTCCTGAAGAAGGCCAAGTGGAAGACAGCCTTCCTCAGAGCAGCCAGCCCCGACTCAAACAGCAGAGGCTCCGATACACGGGAAGACCCCGACACAAGTGAGTGTCTGGAGAACAGTTAGGGTGCGATCTGGTCCAGATACACAAATTCTGTGCAGATTACATCATTATATTGTTCTGATGTGGTTCATCCTAAGATGTAAACACTTCTCTAGGACTTCTGATCTGATATGCTGCATAGACCAACTCTGTCATATAAATGTACAGTTGAAGTCGGAAGTTTACATACACCTTAGCCAAATACATTTAAACTCAGTTTATCACAATTCCTGACATTTAATCCTAGTAAAAAATCCCTGTCTTAGGTCAGTTAGGATCACCACTTTTATTTTAAGAATGTCAGAATGATAGTAGAGATTTATTTCAGCTTTTATTTCTTTCATCACATTCCCAGTGGGTCAGAAGTTTACATACACTCAATTAGTATCTGGTAGCGTTGCCTATAAATTGTTTAACTTGGGTACAAATGTTTCGGGTAGCTTCCCACAATAAGTTGGATGAATTTTTGCCCATTCCTCCTGACAGAGCTGGTGTAACTGAGTCAGGTTTGTAGGCCTCCTTGCTCGCACACGCTTTTTCAGTTCTGCCCACAGATTTTCTATAGGATTGAGGTCAGGGCTTTGTGATGGCCACTCCAATACCTTGACTTTGTTGTCCTTAAGCCATTTTGCCACAACTTTGGATGAATGCTTGGGGTCATTGTCCATTTGGAAGACTCATTTGTGACCAAGCTTTAACTTCCTGACTGATGTCTTGAGATGTTGCTTCATTATATCCATATAATTTTCCTTCCTCATGATGCCATCTATTTTGTGAAGTGCACCAGTCCCTCCTGCAGCAAAGCACCCCCACAGCATGATGCTGCCACCCCCGTGCTTCACGGTTGGGATGGTGTTCTTCGGCTTGCAAGCAACCCCCCTTTTCCTCAGAACATAACGATGGTCATTATGGCCAAACAGTTCTATTTTTGTTTCATCAGACCAGAGGACATTTCTCCAAAAAGTACCATATTTGTCCCCATGTGCAGTTGCAAACCGTAGTCTGGCTTTTTTGTGGCGGTTTTGGAGCAGTGGCTTCTTCCTTTCTGAGCGGCCTTTCAGGTTATGTCGATATAGGACTCGTTTTACTGTGGATATAGATTATTTTGTACCTGTTTCCTCCAGCATCTTCACAAGGTCCTTTGCTGTTGTTCTGGGATTGATTTGCACTTTTCACACCAAGTACGTTCATCTCTAGGAGACAACGCGTCTCCTTCCTGAGCGGTATGACGGCTGCGTGGTCCCATACTGTTTATACCTGCGTACTATTGTTTGTACAGATGAACATGGTACCTTCAGGCGTTTGGAAATTGCTCCCAAGGATGAACCAGACTTGTGATGGTCTACAATTGTTTTTCTGAGGTCTTTGCTGATTTCTTTTGATTTTCCCATGATGTCAAGCAAAAAGGCACTGAGTTTGAAGGTATGCCTTGAAAAACATCCACAGGTACACCTCCAATTGACTCAAATGATGTCAATTATCCTATCAGAAGCTTCTAAAGCCATGACATCATTTTCTGGAATTTTCCAAGCTGTTTAAAGGCACAGTCGACTTAGTTTATGTAAAGTTCTGACCCACTGGAATTGTGATACAGTGAATTATAAGTGAAATAATCTGTCTGTAAACAATTGTTGGAAAAATGACTTGTGTCATGCACAAAGTAGATGTCCTAACCAACTTGCCAAAACTATAGTTTGTTAACAAAAAATGTGTGGAGTGGTTGAAAAATGAGTTTCAATGACTCCAACCTAAGTGTAAACTTCCGACTTCAACTTTATGTATCGGTGTAGGCGTCATCTTAGTACTAGTCCTCTTGTGTGTCTTACAGCACATTCCAATGTCCCTGAGAAGGCCGGGGAAGAGCTGGAGAAGGAGACCGGGGACAAAACATTAACCAAAGTGTCACCAAAAGAGGAGGTGGAAACTCCAGAGCTCAAGGTACTGAACAACTCACACACCAATTTAACTCTCAGTAGTAGGGCCTGAGCAGGAAAAACCCTGGGCCTACTCATGAGTGATAAAATAACTGGTGGATAACTAATTTTTAAGAAATTGTGTTTTGAATGATCAGTTTCAGATCGGGGAACTGGCCAACACCTTAACAAGCAAGATGGAGTTCTTAGGGATCAACAAGAAAACCATCTCTAACTTCCAGCTGCTTCTGTTACAGACTGAGGTGAGATGACCATGACCTGTTTTTGTACCTTACCTCCAGTCACAGTGAAAGCCTATATCTTCAGGTCCAGATTATATTCTCTTGGCCTCGAAACCACACTAGTTAGCTAGCTGCATGACTCTGAATGGTGAGAACTTTCACAGACATGATTCAGATTCACCGTTTTTAATAGTCACATGTACAGGGTTGCAGGTGTGATTGCAGGGTACAGCTTTGAGCTCCAACATGCAGGACTAAATAAAATAAAATAATTAAAATGGTTATAAAAAATAAAATAAAAGAACCATATACTGTAAATAGAAACAATCTGTACTGAATGACTGCAATTGCAAGTGATCATTCTGATGGGAGATTTTTATTTTTTACATTGTTTCTCCCTTCTCTCTACCCATCCTTCTCTCAGACGAGGATCGCTGATTGGCGGGAGGGGGCTCTGAACGGGATCTATCTCCGCCGCAGGCTGCAGGAAGCCGCCGAGCACATAAAACATTACGAACTTAACGCCGCCCCTAAAGGCTGGTCCTGCCACTGGGACAGGTACGCGCTCCTTACCTTTAACATCTCTAAACACCCCCCCCCCCCCCCCCCCCAAACCCAGTGTGACCACAACCCTCTCAGAGCTGGGGTCGCCACCTTTTTAACCTGATATGAGGGTGATCTTAACCAATCCCAGTGGATAAAATGAAACAGAGACAGACCCTCAAGGTTTCTGTGATGCAATGCTGGCACTCTGCAGTGTCAGTGGTAATAAGGGAGCAGCCATTCAGGCCAGCTTGATCCCCTAACACTATACCACCAGATGCAGAGACGGGAACCCTGTCCTGTCCACCCATAGCCCAGACTATGGCTCTTGTCTTTGGGGGGCCCTCTGTAGACTGTTTTGGGGGTCCAGTCAGTGGAACGGGGGTACGGTAGCTAGGAAGGTGGTTGTGTGCGAGAGCTTTGCACTTTACAGGACTACAGCCCCCAGAATGCATTGCTGGGCGAAATGAGTGACAGATTGAAGCCCCGGAAACGAGGAGTGTCAAAAACAACATCAGTTAAAGCGAAGACGGAGCGTTGACGAGGACCCAGCAGGTCAGACCAACTCTATTTCATACGTTTCCTGTTTTTATTCCTTGATTGAGTGAATGTATAGATATTTCTGATGTAAAAAAATATAAATACTGTTTTTTTCATGCCTTTGGTTGTTGAGTTGATGACTGCTGTCTCTCTTTGGCATCTATCTATGTTTGGGGGGCAAAAGGTTGTCTGAAGGTTGTCTGTGAGTATGTTGTCATGACAACCATTATGTGGATCATTACTCTGAACATCTGAACACTGCTTTGATGATCAACTTTGCAGGACCCAAGCCGATAGTTTTTTGGGTTTGTTGATTTGGTTTTGTGAGAGTTAAGGTGGGTTCCCCATCAATGTCCCACATCCCGATCCAATCTGGCTCTTCTCCTGGATGGCTAACCTGGCTGTCCAGCCCAATATTCCCCCTCTCCTGCCCCCTACGGGGCAGTCCCCCCCTCGCCCAGGGTATACTACGACTCAGCCAGTTATAAGGCCAGCTGTTGAGACTCTGCCTTGTATCTCTGTTCTCCCTCCTTCTAGAGAGCACAGGCGGTATTTCTACACCAACGACCGCACCAGTGCCTCCCAGTGGGACTTCCCAGCTGAGGAAGAGGAAGAGGAGGAGGAGGAAGGACTGGAAACCAAGTTGTCCATACAGGGGGAACCCAAACCCCCGCCCGTACCCGCTGGTGGGCTCGCAGGTCAGTCCTCAGGACCCCTCACTGTTCTCTTAAAATTCCCTTATGTTCTCCTGATTGACATCCTCTGTATCTATAGGTCCAGATTAATCGCTTGGCCTTGAAACCACACTAGTTGGGTAGTTGCGTGACTCAATGATGAGAACTTTCACAGACCTGTACTGAAAGACTCTGATTGCAAACTATTTTACTGAAGGGAGACGGACATGCATAGAGCATTAGGCTTCCAGTAACTAACTAACAGGTCTTGCGCTATGGAATCTGCCACGGTCATATGTTACTAACTAGTCAGTATTTGGTGAACCTTACTCACTTCTCCCTTCTGACAAAGAAAATGGGTACATTTTATAAATTTTCTATCATATTGCAGGAGCTTCAGTCTTCTCACCCATCGTCCCCACTCAGCCTGGCCTTCCCTCTTATTGGTCTGTGCCTCAGCCCCCACTTCCCCCTGACCAGCCCCCTCCCCCGTCCGACATCCCCCTGCCTCCCCCTCCACCCCCAGAGTCGCCTCCCCCGCCCCCTCCTCCTCCCCTGGAGGAGGATGATGGAGAGATTGAGGAGGTAGAGATGGAGGATGATGACAGTGAGCCTCCAGCACCTGGAACAGAGCCTCCCCTCCTCCTGGGCGTTGGCAGCATGAAGGTATGAGACCATTCTACTCATCCAGACCTCAAGTCTCATCTCAGTAGTCTTGTGAATAGACTAACCAAGCACACTTTCTAGATGACCTCCTAGTCCAGCAGTTGTCAAGTGCCAGTCAGTGGGCCTGCTGGTTTTTATGTTAACATGACTCTATGTTAACTTTCACAGACCTGTTCTGAATTACTGTGATTGCAAACCATTTTTTTCTGATGGGAGACGTGCATAGCAAGCATTTTGTTGGAAATTAGCATAAGCTTTCACTGTAAGCTTGTCTTTCTCCTCTCAGGTTGTGGAGTCTACAGCTTCCCTGGGTAAGGGTCAGAAACGCAAGGCTTCAGGAGCAGGTCAGCTGACCAAGGCAGTAACCATCGGCAGCAGCGCCATCCTCTACACACAGACCACCGCCATGGCAGGTAAAAAGCCATGATATCATCATCGAGTCTGTGTGCCTGCTGGTTTTCATGTTAACATGATTCTTGAAGTAGCAGGACTCTCAATGATGAGAACTTTCACAGACCTGTACTACATTACTGTGATTTAATACTTTTTCTGATGGGAGATGTAGGACCCTAGTGTATCTCGGTATAGGTGTTTGGCTGTTTAATTGCAAACCTTGTGATCACTTTGAAAACTAATGCTTGTACCAAATAGTTGACTTTTGTGTTCCTTTCTGTGTCCTCAGCCCCTGTGATGTCAGGAGCGGTCTACTGGGGTGTGTCTGCGGTAGCTGCTCCTCCACTGCCTTCTGAACCTGTGGCCCCACCTCTCCCACCTCCCCCAACCCGGCCCCCGCTACCCCCCACTCAGCCCCCCAATGCCTTGGACCCCACAGGGCTTAAAACACTGCCCACGGACAAGACCAAGAAACTGAAGAAGGATAAGGTGGGTGTCTTTGATTTTCATATACAATGGCATCTGTTCAATGCATTGATAAGGAAAAAGGATGGTGAAAGATTGGCACTGTCTAATTCAATGTAATAAATATTTCAATTGAAAGCTTTCCCCTAGTTGATTCGAACCAGAGTGAAGCTCTTAAATTACGATCTCCCACTGTCTCCTTTATTCCCCTTCCCCACATCCCTGGTTGCTGTGTCCAGTCGAAGAAGAGCAAGACGAAGATGCCGTCCCTTGTGAAGAAGTGGCAGAGCATCCAGAAGGAACTGGACGAGGAGGAGAAGTCTAGTTCTAGTGACGAGGACAGGGACCAGCTCAACAAGAGGGGCATCGAGGAGTGGAAACAGCAGCAGCTACTCACGTAAGAGCTTCCCCTGAACTACTGTGATTGCAAACAATTTTTCTGATGGGGACAACTTCTAATACATTTGTATATTTTAACAACTTCTAATAATGTTTTAAGTGAAAATAATCTGTTTCTACTACTTTATCTATTGGATTGCAGGGGAAAAGCTGGAAAGAATGCAAACTTCGAGGCTTTACCTGATGACTGGCGAGAGAGGATGTTGAAGAAGAGGAAGATGATGAAGAGCACGTAACACACACTCCGCTCCACACACATTATATATACACACACACACACACCATCCTCCCCTAAACCCTTACTCCAAACGCTGGATAAGAATCAGTGGACTATGTGCACTTTTTACGCTTTCACTGTCATTTTGAAACGGTTTGAAAAGCGTCTCATATCTTGGATGAATACATTGGATGGGTTTGAATGTTCTTTTTAATTTTTTATTCGCTGTAAACCCCACTATTGTTTTTACATGTTACCCTGGAGACTCCCCTACCAAGCCTCCCTCTCTCCTTTACCTGTTTAAAGCATAAATGCTGTTTTCTGTCAAACGTTTGGCACTGCTAAGATTGCTGTAGTTTCTGAACCTTTGTTTTATAGTGGAGATCAACTCTTTGTATGTTGTTTTGACCTTGCCCATTTCATAAACTATGATGAATAACACCTTCCTAATAACTCTGGTCCATATTCAGTTGGATGCTTCAACTATAGTGACTGATAGTACTTTTTGTTTATTCATGGTATACCCTCAACATATCCTGTCTGATTTTCTTGTTTTCTGACTCAAGATAGGATCTTTTAAATGGCGTATACAAGTGCGTTATCACATGGCCCAATAGTGGAAACTGCTTCATTGCAACACTTTTCTCTGCACACATTTTTCAAGTAAAGCCAGTAGGTAAAACGACCAAGCAACCCACTTCCCAGCCCACTATTTCTGTCTTTTTTCTCCATGTCCAGAGTTTACAGAAATGCATGATGACATGCCAATAATACAAATGTGCCAATTGATTTTTCATATCATACTATTTGCATAAATATATTTTCAAATTTAGTTATTTCCCTTTGCTGAAAATCATCAAGACTAGTTTGGTGGCAAGGCGAGTGTCCAGTGTTTTTGGGAGCAGTTTTTCAGCTGTGTACATTGCATATGTCTTAGTAAAATGCCCTTGATGTTTATTACGATGTTGTGGGGAGGGAATGCAACACAATTGTATATTGTTTGGGGAAAAAATATGGGGTCAATTTCACGCCTTAAGTATTGAATTCAAAATAAAATAAATCGTGAACATGGAAAAATTAAGTTGAATGTAAAGAATGAGGAAAAGTGAAATGATGTTGAGAGAGAAATCAAAAGCTACATTTGTAGATCTGTAAACAAAATGTTAAAAGCAACAAAACATTTGCAGACAAATAATTTTGCCAGAGCAAAACTCATTTAAAAGCAAGAACAACTTATTTAAAGTAATGACTTGGATCTTTGCTTTCAATGCCATTTTTTTATTTATTAGAGTTTTGGCAATTTTCTTCATGAAGGTGTGGTTTAGAGGGAGGTGTGGATAGTGAGTCTCCATTGGTCCCTGACCCTTTTTTTTCTAATGCTAAAGGACAACTCCGCCACTTTTTAAATGTGGGTTACTATGATTTAGTGATGTCCTACACAGTTGTAGTGTAATTTTATGATTTCATGTCTATAGACTAGTGAGGAGCTAAACCGGAAATAGCTTCTGCTACATTTTCAAGTTGGATCCCTGAGATGACTAACACAAGAAATGATTGACAGTCATTTTCAGCGATCTATATAACCCGTCTAGTTTCCTGATCATATTGGAACTCCCAGCTATGTGTTGCTCTGGATGTCTTAATCTAACATATATTAAATAGATGCTCAAAAACCTGTAGAATGAGAGTAGTTACTCCAATATTTTTCTCTTGTTCAAGGCTCAAACGCCTATGGTTCCATTAGGCAAAACCACTCTCACCACCACCGACCGAAGTTGCAGCCATTGTGCCCTTTCCCAAATAGCCTTTATATTTTGTATTTAATTACTTGTAAACTTCATACTTTTTATTAGTTCCAATAGGCCTCCAGTGTTTGTTTGCTTGGACAGTCGCTGAGGCTGTATTTCAGATGCATCAGGTTTAGCTACTTAGCTATCATTGATAACTTAGCGTGTGTCTTTGGTGCGGAGAGACTAGGATTCCTGTAAATGTTATAAATATTGTGTTCTTCTAAAAGGCCTAATGTTACATCCGAGTTTCTAAACTAAGAGGCACAACATCGCAAGACTTCCGTGAACGCTTGCGAAACAACGAAGCAGAAAAATACTTATTTTAGTTTTTCATTTTGTCTAAATCTAAAGGCAGAACCTGAATTCGAGCCAATATCTTAAGTAGTTGAACATGTTATTACTTCACAACCTCGTGAAAATGACACTGACGCGTTTTCATTTGAGTCAAAAACAACTTTATATCGAAGGACTGCCTGCACATGGGCAGTTCGGCGCGAGACGACCAGTCGACCCGATGACGTGTTTCTGCGCGTGAGCTTTGCTAGCCAACGTTGTTATGACGTCTACAAGTGTGATCAGAGATTTAATTGGAGAAGCAGTTTCTGCCTATCTTAATGTTACTGTCTTTGGTTACATGTTTGGACTGTTTAGGACAGTCGCTAAGTTGAAACTGCTGTTATTTAGTGTATTGTTCTTTAGTGTATTGCACTTGATTGATGACAATGAAATTAGCAATTATTCAGCATGACATTCATGCAAGCGTCATATATTTAAAACCTAAAAGTAATGTGAAATGCACTCATAATTTATGACAAGCAATATACTGTATTTAGACAAACTTAATCTGGGCTTGGTAGCTAGCTAAGCTAACTGCAGGCTAACTAGGCGGAGCATTGCACCATGGGAGACGAAATGCACCCTGGGAATCGTAGTATGCTGTTGACCATGGTTTCCCAAACTTGGTCCTGGGGGCCCTCCTGGGTGCACGTTTTGGTTTTTGCCGTAGCACTACACAGCTGATTCAAATAATCAAAGCTTGATGAGTTGGTTATTTGAATCAGCTGTGTAGTGCTAGGGCAAAAACCAAAACGTGCACCCAGTGGGGAGATAGGAACGAGTTTGGGAAACCTGGCTGTAGATGAGGGCAATACAGAAGCTTAAAAATAAAAATGACAAAAACAAGGAATCGTGCAGTATGACTAACAAAAACGATAAAACAATGTGTATCAAAGCTTACAGTAGTACATATACTTTATACTAAACTGTAGCTCAGTTGGTAGAGCATGGCGCTTGCAACGGCAGGGTTGTGGGTTCGATTCCCACGGGGGGCCAGTATGAAAAATGTATGCACTCACTAACTGTAAGTCGCTCTGGATAAGAGCATCTGCTAAATGACTAAAATGTAAATAATAAATGGTTATATGTGGCAGAATTTTCCTATGCTAACGTTTTAGCATTTGTGGTACAAATCTCATGGAAGTCATGGTACCTATATTAGCATTTGTCGCGCATCATTTGCACATTTCCCTAAAGGATCTTGATATATTGTGAATTGATTGTGTAGCTCAACAAAGCCACTTATAGATGATTTGAACATGAGGTGTAAAGAAATGCTAATATATGTATCATGACTTGCATGGGATTTGTGCCACATGCTAAAACATTAGCATTTGAAAACGGAGCCAGGGAAACTAAACCAAAGCATGGATTGCTGTCATACATAGACTGCTTACATTGTAAGGAAACCAATGTCATTTTGTAATTTGGGTGAACGATCCCTTTAAGAGTCAATTACTCAAATGATAAAATAAAACTCGATTTTAACACTTCTTCAGGGGGCATTTTGCCCAATAGAGTTTTTAAAGTTTTTTTTTTTTTAGTGTGGGACCAAACACTCCCTTTCAAAGTTTCTGTTATCAAATAACACAAAATTGAGTTCTGCCCACTTATTTACTTTCAAAGTGTGTTTGTGAGAATAGCTAATATGCACATCTAAATCTGACCAAACGTAGCTTTTTTGTGTGTGTGTCAGAAAATATACATTTTCCTTAGTGGCATTCCAGTCTCCTTTTCACATCTTAACACCTGATTTACTTAACCTCTACGGGATTGGTGTCCCTTATACGGAACGGTTGTTGCTCAGTATAAGATATGTGACTAGAATGGTGTTGTGAACTACAGCCAACTTTCCGGGACATAGACATGTTTTATATTGTCAGAAAGCTTATATTCTTGTTAATCTAACTGCAGTGTCCAATTTACAGTAGCTATTACAGCTAAAAAAAATACCATGCTATTGTTTGAGGATAGTGCACAACAACAAAACACATCACAGCAATTGGTTTGGTACATTCACCTCTGAAGGTAAATAATGTACTTACATTCAGTAATATTGCTCTGATTTGTCATCCTGAGGGTCCCAGAGATAAAATGTAGTGTAGTTTTGTTTGAAAAATCAATATTTATATTCAAATGTAGGAACTGGGTTCTACAGTTTGACCTCTGACTCCACACCCACCCCGCCTGGCCATCTAGATGTGTGAAGGTTAGTGTCTTTTCTGTAGGGAAGCTAATGATCCATCATTAATGCCATTCCTGGGAGTGTGCAAACTTACATTTTATATTACCATAGCATTTTTTGTTTACATTTTACATTTACGTCATTTAGCAGACGCTCTTATCCAGAGCGACTTACAAATTGGTGCATTCACCTTATAGCCAGTGGGATAACCACTTTACAATATGTTTTTTTTGCATGAAGTTATGTACTTCAAAACCAATTCGGCACATTTGGGAAAACTCCTGGCAGACTTGATACAAAATATTGTGTAGTGATGTAATTCCTCACTGGATCAGTCTGAAACTTTGCACACCCACTGCTGCCATCTGGTGGACATCTAAATTACATATATAATCGTACATCACTGTCTGGCCTTTCTCTTGCATTTCAAAGATGATGCATCAAAAAAATGAATAGAAAACATGTTTTTTTGTTTGTATTATCTTTTGCCAGATCTAATGTTATATTCTCATACATTAATTTCACATTTCCACAAACTTCAGTGTTTCCTTTCAAATGATATCAAGAATATGCATATCCTTGCTTCAGGTCCTGAGCTACAGGCAGTTAGATTTGGGTATGTCATTTTAGGCAAAAATGGAAAAAAAGGGTCAGATCCTTAAGAGGTTTTAACAAAAGGCACATCTCAATAGGTGGTCCGTCTCCCGA